TGTTGTAATTCAGTGTATGGATTAAGTAACTTAATCACTGCTAGCAGATATTTATTTTAAACTTGAGCAATACCAGGAATTTTGAAACATGAACTTCAGGGATACACTGAGAAACAATGACCTTGACAACAGCAGCCAAATCAATCACGTATACCATTTGGTCAGAAGCTGTTCAAATGTGCTCTTATCCTTATTGGGCAGGAGTGATCACTGCTCCAAGCAACTACATTCACAATACAGTATAGCCCATATATCCATGAGACCAGTATCCTACAAGGTTCCCATCACCTACTTTGTGCAATGGATCCCTTATGTCAGTGGTTCTCAAACTTTGGGTCCCATATGTTTTGGCCTTCAACTCCCAGAAATCCCAACAGCTGGTAAACCGGCTGGGATTTCTGGGAGTTGTAAGCCAAAACACCTGGGGACCCACAGGTTGAGAACCAATGCCTGATGTTATAAAGTGATTTCAGGGGGGTGAGATTCTCCTCCCTTCAAACTATCATCCTCGCGATTCCTTAGCTGTATGTTGTGTGTTTTTAATTGTATTGTTTGTCTTTTTTATTAACCATTTTGGATTTTTTTTAAATTATAGAGTAGCAGAAGTCCAGGAAGATGGGGTTACAAAGGTATGTGAAAGCATGATCACAGGACCATGACTTAGTGATCCAATATCTATGATTATGTGACTACCGAGCAATAGCAGTTTGCATGATAAAGTCCTAGTAACAGAACCATCCCTGACCAAGGATGCAGTCAGACTGTAGATTTAATGCAGTTTGATATTAACGAATTTCTGGTATATAAGATGACTGAGTGTGTAAGACGGCCCCCAACTTTCCAGTTAAAATATAGAGCTTGGGGTATACTCGCTATATAAGACTATCCCTCTTCCAACGCACACCAAATAAAAATAAAAAACCCATCAGATTTTATTTCAATATAGTAATTTTCCTATTGCTGTACCTCCTTCTCTTCTACTCAGATCTCGCACATGCGTTCCTGTGCCGCTTCATTGCAGTCCTCAGGAGCGAGATCTGAGAGGCAGAGAAGAAGGCACGGTAATAGGATACAATAGGGTGGGCCATATGGGTGAAAGGCATGTTTTTCTGGGCACAGTGGTGCCCTCTCTCTTTTTTCCATATCCCGGGCATCCTGGGCACCTGCAGCTTGTTCCGCCCTTCACTTACACCTTCTCGGTGAGGTACCCCCTCACCTCGTCATCGGGGCCACATTAAGTCACTTCTTTCCATGAATCCTGTTGAGTGGATTTTCTTCTACTGTACTTGTACAACATTGCCCTTACTGCTTTCATACGGTCACCACATATGGTGGGAATGCGTTTGAGCACCTTCCACCATATGCAGGAACTGCCGATTCTCCAGATGACATGCTAGCACTCTTTGGCAGAAAAGGTAAATACCTTGTAAGTCTATGCCTCCCATAATTCCATAGCATTGAGGCATGACAGTTAACATGCCAAACTACATTAATTCGGTGTAGATGAAGCTAGAATTAGTTGATGGAGCCATAGGCCATTCATTGAAAGCTTTGTGGCTGAGCATGAATTTGATACTGGATCGCTTTAGTCCTAATATAGCACCTCAACAGTTACATCACACTACAATCTCACTAGGAAAGTAGACAAAAGCCCCATCTGTTTCCTCCATTAGAATATTTTGCAACTCAGAAAGGGTTGGAGCCATGGAAGCGAAAGTAGTGTCAAACCACATTGATTCTATAGTGTAGATGCATCCTTGATTTTCTGAGAAGGTCAAAGCTTTTCTGATGTCAAATGGGTGCAGAATTAACATCTAAAAATAGTGTGGTTATAGTGGGTAGAACTGGTGAAATCCACATTCAGTATTTACTCACACTGAAAGCTCAGCGTGTTAACTTAAATCAGTCAATATTTCTCCCCCTAACCTATTTTGCAAGGTTGTTCCAAGGCCAAAGATAGGGAAGTGGGGTCATGTATATACTTGAGTTGAGGGGAACGTACCATACATACAAAAATATGTACTTATATGCATACATACATACATACATACGGCTTTTCTCTCAAGTGACACATTTGTCACGATAATCTTTCTGTATAATTAAACACAAGCTTCCTGATCTCCAGACATAGCATTTGAATTATGAGTGAAATGTGGGCTAGAATAACTAAGCCAGTTATTCAAGTAGAGGCTTACTTTAAGATCCAGAAAGTACAGAAGGCAATTAATGAGTGTCATTACTTGCTCCGAGAGGAGAAACATCACATTTTCTTAAGGGGGATATCTCTTCGTGTCTTCTGGAACACAAATGAGCTTCTTTAGGGGTGACACAACATCCTTTGATGTCTATGTCAGAAGAAGGTATTATCTTATAAATTCCAGATTGCAACTTCAAGTATGCTACAAGAGCAATGCCTCATTAAAAGCATCGGAAGGAGCCTTTCTTGGAGTCAGCAACTGCCTTGTGAAGTCTTGTTTGCGGGCAATTAATAACTTCCTGAGTTCTAGCAAAGCAGGGTGGTTTTCTTAATCCTGTTTTCTCTTTGGCCTATGCCATGAGAAAAATAGATCATGCCTTTCCAACTGCCCTCTTTTTTATTACAAATAACTATAGGATCTAGGATACCCAATGAAACAAATGAGGAAGGATAAATAGCTAATAAAAAGAAGTAGTTACATGAGAGAATTAAGAGCAATTATTTGTTCAGTTTCAGAAATCATTTGATATGATAAAGTGCATTTATTGACCCATAATAGTGCTGAGTAGATAACTGAATATTCACTTCTATCTTTTCCCCCAGGAAAAATGGATCTCCCAACACAGGGTTCATCAATAACAGGCATGGGCTAACTTTCTAACTTGTGAGCTGCATGGTGGGCCAGAGCGGGGTACATGGGTCAGGAGGGAGGGGGTTCTCCCTAAGACCTCTCCCTGCCCTTTCCTCCCCTTCCTCTTCTCTTTCAGAGGCAGAAAGTGAAGGAAAGACAGGAAACGTTTGGAACCCCAAAAGGGTTAGCCTTTGTCAGGATGAAATGGTGGATGGGAGACATAAAGTGTATCCATTAGACCCTGTATTGCCTAATCCTGATATAGAATTCTAGAGCTGGAAGAGACCCCAAATGCCATCCAGTCCAATCCCTTGCCATGCAAGAAGGAAGAATCAAAGCACTCCCAATACACAGCATCTGCTGAAAATCCTCCATTACACTCCAAGGCAGCATATGCCACTCTCCAACAGCTCTTATTCTTAAGAAGTTCTTCCTAACCCTTCCAGTCAAATCTCTTTCCCTGCCATTTGAAACAATTGCTCCCTTGTGCCCTGGTCTCTAGAGAAGCAGAAAGTCACCTTTCCCCCTCCTCCTCAAAGGGACACCAATTGAAATCTTGAATCATGGTTCTCATGTTCCCTCTCTAACTTCTCTTCTCCCAGCTAGGAGGAAAGGTGAAAGGAAAAGGAAGGAAGGAAGGAAGGAAGGAAGGAAGGAAGGAAGGAAGGAAGGAAGGAAGGAAGGGGAAGGAGGTAGGGAAGGAGGGAAGAAGAGAAGTATGGAAGTGAGGCTGGAAGGGAATGGAGGGAGGGAATGAGAAAAGAGAAAAAGAAGAAAAGTCAAAAGGGAAGGAAGGAAAAAGGGAGAGAGGGAAGGAGGAAGGAAAGATGGAAGGAAAGATGAAAGGGTAGAAGGGAAGGAAGGATGGAAAGAGAAAGGGAGGTAAGGAAGGGAGAGAGGGAAGGAGGAAGGGAAAGAGAAAAGGAAGGAAGGATAGGATGATGAGAGAGAGGCGGACCTGAGAAGAGAGCCCAAGGGGCCGCATCTGGCCCTTGGCCCTGGGTTTGCCCATACTTGATCTACACTGTAAAATGAATGCAGTTTGACCTCACTTTAACTGCCATGATTCAGTGCTATCGAATCCAAGGATTTGTAGTTTAGAGAGGCACTACAATTATTTGGCAGGGAAGCCTAAAAGACTTTGTAAAACTATAACTTCCACAATCCCATAGCACTGAACCATGATAGTCTACGTGGTATCAAACTTCATTCATTCTACAGTGTAAATACTCCCATTCAGTAAAGTAGGTTGTGAATGAAAACACAGAGATAGGTGTGTAATGTTTCACGTTGTTTCCCCTTAAAGGAATCCATGAATAATTAGAACAAATTTCCTTTCCACTCCAAGAAAAACTAGGGTTTGAAGGTAATTTTGAGTTCATCACGGGTTCAGCATTATGGTTGTAGTTGCAAAGATAGCAGCATATTCTGTGCTAGAGTAGATACAGTTTTTTCTGTGTTGAAGATACTATTTATAAGCCAAAATATAACTTCTGTCATAAAATAAGGGTTTGCTCTGTAAGACTGTGTGACCCTTGTGGTCTCTTCAAACTCTGTGATTCAGAATCTGTTCTCTATGCACTGGGTGCAGGATAACTTCAGGACCCCTGTACAGGTTGCATGGCATACAAAGCCCTGTTACTTAAGAGAGGGAATCAGTCAAAGCATTGGATCTAGACAGCAAGAAAACCATTACTACTGCTCCCTCAAAATATACTGTCTGATTACTTGAACACTCTGCCTTATATGAGCCAGGCAGGATATAAAGACATAGCATGGCATAGTGGTTTGAATGTTGGATTGGGTTGCATCTGCGCTGTAGAATTAAAGCAGTTTGACTCCACTTTAACTACCATGGCTGAAAGCTATGGAATCACGGAAATAATAGTTTTACAAGGTCTTTAATCTTCTCTGTTAAAGCATGCTGACGCCTTACCAAACTAGGACCCTGGAGACCATGAAAACTACAGGGTAATTTCAGCCTTTGTCAAGTCATCTTCTCTCAGTGCCAGAGGAAGCCGCCACAAACCTCTTTTGAGCACATCTTGCAGAAAAAGCCCAGCAACAGGGTTGTCATAGAGTTGCGATAGGTCAAAAATGAAAAAGCACTCAGCAACAATAAACAACTGGAAACCAGAGATACAATCATGCCTGTTTTCAGATTTTACTTACCTTTGAGTTCACCACTTCCAAGGAGACATTCTGAGGCATAGCACTTGGAACTGAAATGAAAAAGAGAATGTTGGATGAAATGCAGGTGGGTAAAGGTGGAATTAGTCATAAAACACAATGATAAATCTTTAAATGTTTTTAAATTATCCCCACATACATTTAAGTCACTTTTCCTTAGTTTATGATAGGAAAGGAAATACTCCAAGTGGTACCTCTGAGGTGCCATTTCTGTTCAGTTCTATCCAATCATACTTTAAATATAATTTATCTATCAGCCAATTAAATACCTAGTTAGAACATAGGAAATAGCCACAAGAGCTGAGGGATTCTGAGAGCTTTAACCTTTAAAAAAGTACTCTTTCCAACTTCTGCATTTGGTTTAATACTGAATATCATTTTTCAGTGACTGAATAATGCTCTTACATGCTAAAGATTTCCTGTATGAAGTTTTTCTGTTTTTGTTTTTTAAAAAACATGAACAATACAATCATAACATTATCCAAAATGCATGTGGAATGAACTGGCTCGTTTTTAAGCAAGTCCAATTGGGGTGCTTTGAGTTTATAATTCAGGCAATAATAAGAAACAGGATTTCTACGATGATGGCTCCTTGACTGATTGCCAGAAGTTGGCATTAGTGGCAGTTGCCAATGGGCTGCTATCAATGAAGGACTATCTATCAGCCTATAGTTGTTTTATGTTGCCACTCCCTACCTCTGAACCAGTGTTTTTTTTTTAACTTAAAAAAAAAAATCAAACATAGTATCTGGGTGGGAGAGAATAAGCCTCTCTCTTGAATAGCTCAGCAAGAAATGAGTATGCAGCGTTTAAAAAATAGTGGGTTCCATTTGGAACCACATTACACGCAAAGGTTTCAGATGGCATAAGGCTACTAATGAAAACAAATTAATATTGTCTACATATTTCTCATAGCCTGGTTGCTGTTTTCAGCACAAGAAAATGAATTGATTATTTTAGCTCAAGTGGCAGCCACAGGCTTCCATGTTAGCAAGGCAGTTAGTCCACTCGGAGTTTTAGTCCAGAAAGAGCTAATTTATTTATTTAACCAAGGTGCTGAACCTGATCCCCAACAGAGACTTAGTACCTTGAATAGTTGCATTAAAGTTCAGACTAAGTCCAACCGAGCATGTCACTGCCCCATTCACACAAGCCATGATCATCTGCTGATTAGAGTAGAATCACAGAATAACAGAGTTGGAAGAGACCACATGGGCCACTGCTACAAAGGTTAACATCAAAGCGGGGTTGCCTCTTTGGGGGAGCTGCTTTGGAGGTAGAATGAGGGCAAGGGTTAGTATCTTTGGCTGGGAAGGGGAGGATGTCATAGAATCACAAAATAACAGAGCTGAAAGGGACCACATGGGCCATCTAGTCTAACCCCCTGCCATGCAGGAAAAGCCCACTCAAAGTACACTGACAGATGACCATTCAGCCTCTGTTTAAAAGCCTCCAAGGAAGGCGCTTTCACCACATTTTGAGACAGAGAGTTCCACTGCTGAACAGCTCTCACAGTCAGGAAGTTCTTCTTCATGTTCAGGTAGAATCTCCTTTCCTGTAATTTGAACCTATGGGAATCCTACTTTCCAAGGTAGCAGAAAACAAACCTGCTCCCTCTTCCTTATGACATTATTTTACATATTTATACATGGCTATCATATTTTATCTCAACCTTCTCTTCTTCAAGCTAAAAATACTCAGCTCTTTAAGACGCTCCTCACAGGGCATGGTTTCCAGACTCATGTATAAATCTAGAAACCTTAGTAAAAAAAATCAGCCTCCAAAACCACCTGTGGGTCAATGTAAGTACTATACCTTAACTTAGTGGTTCTCAACCTGTGGGTCCACAGATGTTTTGGCCTTCTTCTCCCAGAAATCCTAACAGCTGGTAAACTGTCTGGGATTTCTGGGAGTTGTAGTCCAAAACAACTGGGGACCCACAGGTTAAGAACAACTGCTAACTCTTTTCAAAAAAGGAAACACCCCCTTCTCTGAATAGGATGGTGAAAGCCAAGGCCTTTTTCTGTCCTGATATAACCTGAAAGAAGCTTCATTTTACACTACTTTCACCACCACAGTAATGTTTCTAGCCTATCTGAATGCTTGGGTCAGGAAATGTCCATGGTAATAATCAGGGGTGGCGAGCCCCTTGAGCACTGCCCTATATGTGTAATGATCATTGATATATACATGGTTCCAATCAAAACCCACAATTTTCTTAACTTATTCATGTGTGTTTGTGTGTAGATGGTAGTTCCACCTGAATGTCTCTGAGCCTTTCACATTGCTTCAGAACTATTTGTAAGGAGATTGAAATGATGGCTTATCAGTGGTAACTTTCTGGTAAACTCTTCTCCCCTTTCCCTCTTACTGTGCTCTCTAACCATCACCAAGTAAGGGGAAAGTGACAAAAGAAAGATGCCCACACCAGAGAGGCTTCTGTTGAAGTGGCAGTTTAAGTTGTTGCCAAACCTGACACTGACCTTGGTGGTACCCTATCTATGGGAGACACGAGACCATTCAGCTGGCCAATTTTGGATTTCCTCACTTTGAGGAGCGAAATGAATACTAGCTTTTAATGAGTTATATTTTAATAGTGCTCTAGCTGTTTTACTACTGATTATTATCTTTATCTTTCAGATTGTTTTATGGTTTGACTTTTTATGAGTGCTTCTTGATTGCTGTTCTATGGTTTAATTGATTGTTCTAATTGCTGTGGATAACTTCTTTGAAAAATTCATTCTTGTGCAGGACAGCGGGAGAGAAATGGGCATGGAGATGTCAGGAAGAGAAAGGAAAAGGGAAGGGTGAAAGGAGACGGGAATAGAAGGAGAAATGAGGAAATATTTCAAATCGCAGGCCCCATCAGCCCTGATCATTACACAGAGGCGGCCCTAGGTAATTTTCAACAGTAAGCAAACAGTATATTGCCCCCGCCCCCCAAATATGGCCCCCCTCTGTGCCATATTTGGTTCAATTGCATCATTGGTGGAGTTCAGAATGCTCTTTGATTGTAGGTGAACTATACATCCCAGTAACTACAACTCACATGTGTCAAGGTCTATTTTCCCCCAAGAACACCTCAAGAGCACCCCTGAGCAAAATCAACTATACTGCAAATGCTTACTTTGCGTAATGGGTTAAGCCGCCCCTGTCATTACAGCCAATAATAAAGAACACCAGGAATTGTAGTCCAACAATATTTAAAGTTCACACTTTTCACACTCCTATTCTAAGATGTTTCTACATGGTTAACATCCATATACTTGAATTGTGGATTGAGGCATAACTTGAAAATGTTACTTTGTAGACTATACCCCTCAGAATACTTTGAAAAGCATGGTCAGTGGCCTTGCATGTTGAAGGATTTTGTGACTTCTAGTCTCTTCCCCCACAAAACAATCCCCAAATATTCCTAGCTATTACCTAGCTGGACCCCTGTTCTCTGGCAGAGAGCTCCACTAATACAGCAACAGTCAAATGATACAGAACCTAACAGCAATTAGATTATATTGCATGCCAGTGTAATTGGTAATATCAAACTAGCAAGAGTGTTGTTTAATCATTTTCAACTTTTGTAAAATAAGATTATATCTTAATCTTGTTTTAAATTACTGAAAAATGCCCTGGGGAAAAAAGCCAATGACAAATTCAATAAATAAATGCAAAACTAAGCGGAATCCTAAAAGGACAAGTAACTGGCTGCTCGGTTACCTTTCTTGGATCCTAGAATCATGGAGTTTAAAGAGACTCCAGGGGTCATCGAGTCCAATCCCTTGCTATGCAGCAAAGCACAATCAAAGCACCTCCAGAAAAGCCTCTCATTTTCAAAAAATCCAGAGAAGGAGAATCTACCACACTTCTAGGCAGCAAATCGTACTATCAAACAGCTCATACTATCTGGAATTCCTCCTAACAATTAGGTGTATTTTTTCTGTAGATTGAATCCACTGTGCTCTAGTCTGGAGCAGCAAAAACAAGCCCACTCCATCGAAAATGCGTCCTTCAGTCATATATTTAAATACAGCGATCATATCACCTCTTAACCTTCTCTTCTTTGGGAAAAATATCAAGCACCCTAAACTTCTCCAGATTCTTTGGCCACCCATTCTGGACATGTTCTAGCTTGTCAATATAATTATTTAATTGGAACATCCAGAACTATACACAGCATTCCATTTGAGGTTTGGCCAAACCAGAAAAGATTGGTATATTTTTCTTTTGATCTAAGTAACTAACACTCTTAATTGTGCTCCTAATTGAATATAACTGCCACATGGAAAAATGCAGGATAGACAGGGAGACAGGGAGAGATAACACCAAGTTCCTGTCCCTGCACCACTTTGGCTGATTTTATTTTAAAAATGGAGCCTCTGCTACATCGCTTGCATTCTATACATGATTTTAAAATAAAGGTATCAGATCATGCAGTTCTGTGATATAAGATAAATCTGGTTTTTCCACTTAGAAGCTTTAAAATTCATGGGTTTCTTCTCAGACATAAGAAAGGTTGGCTACTTTCATCATAGAAAATCAAAACCCAATTAAGGTTTTTTTAAAAATGAAATTGGCTGTTTTATTTCTTAATGATCAAGCTGCTCTCTGTGTGTCATTTCTTTTACTAAACTTGCTATCTTAATTAAAGATCAAAGGATTTATGATGTTACAAATAAGAATGTGATACACCTGTTTTCTCAAATAAGATATTCTCACATGAGTTGGCCTCAAAACATTTCTCAGCATATTAACGTTTCATGGAACCATAGAATCATTGAGTTGGAAAAGACTCCCAGAGTCATCCAGTCCAAATCCCTGCCATACAGGAATACCCAAAGCACTCCTGAGAGATGGCCATCCAAACTTTTGTTTAAAAATCTCCAGGGAAAGGATCCTCTACCACCATTTTCCTAATGTTTAGGTAGATTTTTTTTACTGTAGCTTGAATACATTGCTTTGTGTACTAGGGTGCATCTACTCTGTAGAATTATAGTAGTCATGGCTCAATTATAGTCATGGCTCAATGCTATGGGAT